GTTGTTGTTGTTGTTGTTGTTAGGTTTTTTGCTTGATGTACCCGTTTCTCTCTTGCGCCTCCTTGCTTTCGTTGTTGGCGCTGTTGCTGGCGTCGTCCTTGCTAGTGTCCTGTTGGTGGAGACGCCGCCGCTGCTGGCACGGGTTGGTTTAGTTGGTGCTCTCGCGTGTCTCGCTCTTCTTCTGTTTCTTGCAGCATGTGTGTTTCTCTGATGGTGTCGGGTGCATATCGTTTTGTTCAATGCAGTAGAACAATCTGTTGGTGCGTTGCACTAGTGAACATAGTTGTAAAGGTAGAGGCTGCAGTCAGCCTTATGACGACGTCGCCACAAGCTGAAGCTAGATTTAGTTCCTTATATCACCTCCATGTGTCTAGCGTTCAATTGCGGGCGTCTGAGACTGTCCAGCTGACTCCAGGCATATTTACCACCTTTACAGCGAATCCTGCTGCTACCAGATCAACATGCGGGAGGTGTCGCAAATGCCTTGCGAGTCAGAATCCCGATCTTTCAGACAATCGAAGTTGTCATGCTGTAGGTATCAGGAATAGAAAAGGCGCAGTCCAGAAATGTCAGACGAGAATGACCAGTAAGGTCCAGGATGCAGTACTGAAAGTTTTCATGGCTTTTGGAAGGCTCACAGAGTGCTGACTGCATTTGTGTCACGCGCGACTTTGCTATCCATGCAGCCTCTGCAGCCGGCTTACCAAGCGCACCTCTGTATCCAACCTGTCCCTCAACGCCTGGGGTCTTCTGGAGTCTTCAAGAGCCCCCAAAGCACTGCGGGCTTGAGTGCAGGCAAGCATCCAAGTTCAGACTCTCGAAGTATTCTCGCACGGCCGGCGTGTTAATCTTCTCCTGATCTGACAGTACTCTTGTATACAGCCCCGAAGTGAAACTTAATTAAGCATGAAAAACGATGTGGCAGCACAGACTAGCTTTTGCTCAACTCATCAGGACGAAGCTGCCACTGAAACAGTCATGAACGAGTGAGCCCTGCGCGCCTCAAACATAGGAAATGTGATGATGGCGTCGAGCTCGTCGCTACCAGTTTCCGCGTTGAACTTGCTGAAAAGCTGCCGAAGCTTTCTCATGTGACTTTCCTGCCACGGCATTTTGACCATCTGATTCGGAAGAACAGACACCTTGTATTGCTGTGGATCACAGTATCGTTTATGATCAAAGCTCAAAGCCGGTAAACACGGTGAAGATCAAGACCCCTGATGCCAAACACATCAAATACCAAACCGTATCTATGATTATGTTTCCCGAAGCCAAGGGTCTAGTTCAAGCACGTGCAGTGCCTTTCCGTCAACTCACAAAAACGATGTTGCTGTCAAACAATCTAGAGGCTCTGCCTATGTTCCTTAGCGCAGGGTGCGTCTGAAGCACTCCCTTCGTCTGGATGCAGGAACGGCCAAGCGCCACAAACACAAAACGCATGTATTCGGAGTCCTTGTTCTCAAGAATGTTCTGCACAACAGCGGCATGGTCATTCTGCGCAGATTCAATCGCAGAGTGGCAGAAGACTCCTGCACTCCGGCAAGTTCGGGCTACGCTAAATTCAATACATTCACTAGCTAAGCCTGACTGACAGCAAGATACCGAACCCTATAGGACTTCCGATCGGCCACCCCTCAGACCTGGACAACACGCGCAGATGCAGACGCAACACGCAGACGGCTTGCACTAAGTAGAAGCACAGAACATCGTCCGTCCTGTGACGACGTTCAATACCTCGGCTTTCCTAGCGGTCTCCACCGTGATCAGCATGCCATATGCCCTGAAAGGCTTGTCTGCTTCAGTGCGCCTGCCACGCGCGAAAACAAGTGTGGCAACAGCCGTGGTGCCGCGAAGTAAGTGAAGCTCATGTAGAAAAGGAAGACGAAGATCCACAAGCCCGACCTGGGCAGAACAACCGTGAGAAATTGCTATATTCGCACAGACGACTTCTGCCCAGCATGAAGCGATGAATATTCGATTGCAGAATCTCAGAATTTGTTTAGACTATGTTCCAAAATCAACCAGGCGATCTCAATTGCCTTCTGTTTGCTTGCTGCGAGCACCTCTTCAAAGCAACTCCGCCCACAATGAAAAATATCATCTTCACACCGGTTTGTGATTCTTTCCTTCGGCCTTGGCTCCTCAGGAAATGCCGCCAAACGACAGGGCCGCAAGCGGCGTCAACAGCTCAACGTAGCTGATGCCGTTGGTGATACTCATGAACAAAGATAACATTGCGTCCAGAACTGTTCCAAAGCGGGCCTGGCAAAATCGACATGCAAGTTGGGTCGCAAACAGCAGCCCTACATTTTGATCTCAAGGTCTTTAGCGAGACAGCATCCACTCAAAGGCCTGCAACACTTCCCTGCCCTGCTCTGTCACAGTTGGTGCGTCGGGCTCCTGGTCCTGGAGAAAATCATTCCTGAAGCAACGATTGCTATGAGCTGCTGTGCTTGAACTAATATGTGACCACTCCAACAGTTACTTGCCAAGGTGCACTGCTTGAGAGAAGATGACGCCAAAAACATAAACGATGAGAATCAACCTGTGGAGCGACAACACACCCTAGGACGATGCTGGAATTCACAAATGTGCTGCGAAGGTTTCAGCTTGCACATCTAGGTACTCGCAAAGTCTTAAGAATAACGGCAAAATCGCCACAAAGATTTGCTGCACGCACACACACACACACACAGAGACTGATAAGGTAACCGAACGACGATGCAATGACTGAACAGCTTGGCCACACTTGATTGCACATGTTGTACATGCGCCAAAACATGCATGTTGGATAAAAAGGACAACTAGCACAAGAGCCTGGTTGTTTATAATACATGCGGTTCATCAGATCACAGCTACAACTTCAAGCATGGTTTCACTGCACACCGTTTGTTTGAAGGCTGCTGGCCCCTGCGATAACAGCCCAGAACACTTAAAAACTTTGTGTCAAATTGTTTTGCTTGCATGTACTCCTTCTCCACGTCCGCTTGCCCCTGAAAAGTCGTAGTTAACATCCAAAGGAGGGCCATGTGCAAAGGCATCCGTATGAACGAAGGCCTTGAAAAAGCATTCGCCTTCTCCTGCCACCTCAAGTAGCCTAGCTTGTCGGCTTCGTCGCAGTTGGCCGGCTTGTTGGGGAGGGGAACTTGGTAAGCGAGTTTCTCATCGGGTTCTTTGCCCTTGCTGGTGTCCTGCGTCTCGTCCCATGCAGTAGCAGGAACGTCGTTCTTGGTGGTTTCTTTGTTGTCGTTGTCGTCGCGTTGGTCGTCGTCCTCGTTGTTGTCCTCGCCGGCAGTGCGCTGATTGGGCCCCCATTGTTGGCGCCGTCCACGACCTGTATCGTACACTTGCCCTCTCGTAGATGTGCATCGCGGTTGCCTTGCACGCAAGTGCTATGGTGCTTTCTGACCACGTCTCCTTCCCCCGCGGCGGGTCAAGAGCTTGACCTCCTGCCATCTTTGCTTTTCGAGAAACGAGGTGCGATCGCCATCCCGGGGGCGCTTTGTAATTGGAAATGCTGCTTGACCGACCCACGGGTGCCTCGCTTTGGTCCACGTCCACACCAAGATCTGTACCACCACCGGTTCTGTAACGAACTGCGCCTTTTCGCTCTGCAACCAGTCGCCAGTAAACTTCATCATGTCTTGTGTCTTTTAATCGATTGCTCTGCTGCTTGTCTGCGTCTGTCGCCTCGAAAATGGCCTGTGTCGGAACGAACTGACCGTATTGCTCGAAACGTGACCGGATCCACGCGGCAGTCTGTTCGGAACTGTCCTGCTACTTGCTCCCCTGCCAAATCATAGCGATGGGAACGTTGGTGTCGACGGCTTGAGCATGGTCCATGAACTCGGCCGGTGTTGTTCTGAACAAGCCAGTGGTTCTTCTGCGGCTGTCTTTTCTGTTGATGCGGCGCGGCCCGTTGCATGGCCCGTGGGGCATGCTCATACTGTTGAGCATTGGCATCGTCCTTTAGAGTGTTGGTGCTGTGAATCTGGTCAGGTTATGAAGCATAATTGTTTTGGCGGAGTCCATTGGCCGTGAGGACTCCCATCAGTGCTTGCTGGGAAACGGCTTTCAGGGAGGACACCCCCTAACCATGGCCTTTATTGCTTGCAACCGGGTGATGACATCGCTGTTGTTATGGTACGGTGTGTGTTCGTTGGAGGCCGGCGCTGTGGAAAAGTTTCGGCCTGCTGCGTGGTTTGCTCCCACTCCTGTTTTCCCGTCTTGTGGTAACGGCGCCGCTTCTACAAGCTCGGCACTGGCATGCTCGGGTTGCTCGGAGCTTGTGGCCGGCTGTCTGGCAACCGGCGGCAGTGGCTCGGGGAAAGCACAAAATCACTTGGACTGAGTGCCTATGCCATATGCACGCTCAGACGTGACCGAGAAGGTCGTTGCGCCATGCCTGCTAGCATCCGGCATCTGATGCACTTGGCACGAAGCATCTGCATTCTGTGACGATATCGGGTTCAAGCAGCTGCATCTGTTGTGGAACATGTGCGGCTAATAAACAAGAATCTCGTATCGCACTTTCTGCTGTCTGACGCATGGCTTCTAGCAAAGATCTTCATCTCCAGTGCCACTCGTCGTTGAAATTGAGTTGTCAAAATTCAGCAAAAACAGCTCTCTTCTTTCTTATGCACCAGGCATCAAGGTGATGAAGCACGAAAGCACTGCACTGAAAATCCTTGTCCAGAAAGCAAAACTTGCATCGCGAGAGAAAAGCCGTGTGGAAGACTTCCCTTGTGTGCAGTGGGCAACAATCTTCAGAGCCCACCGGTGGCAAAACTGTTGCTAGCTGTATCGTTGGAAACTCCAACACTGTCATATCTGCCACATTCCGAAGCATTGCATGTGAGTATGCCTACTCGTGAAGCTGGAGCGCTCAAGAGGAGCAGTACCTTCCGGAACTTGCAGCTGCAGCACCGGCTCAGGTTGCGAGTCTTACTGTATGTTCGTTTCGTGCCAGATTTGCCGCTCATCTGTTCCGTTTTCACCGTCGTGGAGGTAGAGGATCGCCAGACCCCCAACCAAAGAAACACAGCCTCCTAACAGCCCCAACAACCCCGTGGCCCAAACCATAAGCCCTGGCTTTATGATGCAAAGCCAACAGCTTCGTCAAAGCATCCACCAAGTACCCGAGAGTGGCGAGAAAAAGGATGTTCGAAAAGGCTAGAATCATGATTTGCCTTCCCCAAGCTTTGCACACTGGCACCCATGACCGAAGGACATGCTGCCTGTCCAAGGTCCTCAAAGAAAACATAGCAAGGCAACGAAACAGACAAGAGCAGCAGCTTTTACATCTTACATCCAAGGTCCGGAGCGATGCAAGTCCTGCCCAGGTGCCACTACCACAAACAAGCAAGCTGGGGTCCAGGGCCAGCGCAGACAACAAAAGCCAACAATGTTCGAGACCGCTGTTAGTCACCGAGAGTGGTTGCTGCATGCGCACTAGACCTGTGCAGTGTTACAAACTCCGCTCGCAATTAGATATGTACCATGTCAGCTGCACATGCATTCATGCCGGGTTCATGTCCAAATCTACACAACTGCGAAGGCAGAATAAACAGGAGCAGGAAACGGCAAGACTCAGCAGATGCCTGTCTAATCAACGAACCGGGTTGCTTGCGACCCAATAACAGAAAGCTTGTTGTTTTCTTCTTGTCTTCAGGCACATCTGCTGGATCGTAAATGGCTGTTGGACACACACTGCCACGTGTTGAGCATGTGTTTACAAGCTGCACTCGTTGGCTTCAAGGCTGTCGGCTGTCGGGGGGATACCCGACGCCCCACCCACCCACCCACCCACCCCGACAGACAAACAGCAGCACGCCCCCAAAAAAAGAGTGTGCAGGAGATTCACCGGGTCCTGACTCCTTATAGTCGAGTCGAAACACACAAGGATCGGAAAATGAAAATAGCTGCAGAACCGCCTCCTCAGCGAGACCCCTGACAAAGCAAGCGAAGGACGATGCAATGACCGGCTCGGCCGAACTAGGCTGCGTAAGAGTTGGAAAGTGACTGCGAAATCTAATCTTGCAAACACAACTACTGCTGGTGGCTGCTCGTGTTCGAAGGCCACTGGCCCTTCTATTCCCCAAAGCCAAACAACTAAACCCCAGAATCCTAAAGGTGTGATCCGCTTCGCTAATCAACTCATACACACACAGAGACATACAAACAAAGAAACTGCAGTGGGTCAAAGCAACCGGCCTTTCCCTATAAAAGATGTGCGTGCGAAAAAAGCTATCTGTTATCTGAAGCGCTTTTGACGGAATCACCGGCTCATTCTCGACCAATAATAAGTCCGAGAAGCAGAACCAGTGCCCAGAACAATGATTTGAGGGTATTCACAATACTTCCGACCAGCATCCGCAGAGCCATGACAAACCGGAATATTCGCATCAATCGCACCGCCTTTACAATACCTTGCGTGTTTGGAGCAGGGGATACGACTCACAGATAGATTTAGCACCCAACAAATTACGAAAGCAGTCTCGAAAAGATGCTTAGGGTCGGGGCGGAAGGGTTCGCAGCTCAAGGCGCGTGTGATGCGAATGATTCGGAATGCCCTGAGCCCGGACATGTCTGCCACTGACTCGGCACCTTGCTGGGAAGCCATCCAGACATCGACGACCTTGGGAACTATAGCTTTTCTGTCACAGGTTCACAAGGGGAAAGCCAAAAAGCCAGGCCACGATATCCCAGAGTGCTGTCAAAACGATAAAGGTGTCAAGCCAACCCCACATCCAGTCCTCTCCACAATAAAGAGCCCATCCTTGGCTGCAGACTGCCCTGGCACCATCTTGATGCTCATGCTCTATATTTTAATATGCCTGCGATGGGGGCGAGGTGGTCCATCAGTGAATTGCGTATGCACAGTGGCCTGTGAACAACTGCATTGCAATAATGTCTCTCTTAGGGCTCATCAAGAAGACGGCATGTCGCACCCTACAGATTGATCCTAAGCGAGGATGTGCTCACACTTGGGACGCCAATTATTCTGCGCCACTCTCCACGTACAGCCGCAAGAAGAGCTCTACGGCAAAGAGGGTTGAGAATACATAGTTGCCCACGTAGAAAAAAGCCTCAGCTCTTGGGAAAGAGAAATCTCTCAGGCAAGATCGGATGCAGGCAGGATGCAGGTTGAATCCCGTCGTTCCAGATCGTGTACTGCACGTCGAGACCGATAAACGCCGTGTTTGCGATCACCTTCGACCAGACTAAACTTGGGCGCCTGAATCGGGAAGCTTTTCGGCAGCGAAGCGGCCACCAAAGTGAAGAAGGCATCAAAGAAGGTGCTGTGCACAATGGCTGCGATGGTCCTACCCGGAGCTTGAAACTGGATTCCTTTTGCTTCAACAGACATCGCAGAACCCATGGTCACGCAGGTTGGAAAGGAAACTGCCGACATGTCGGAGTCCATACCCCGCCTGTAAACACCGCGGCAGGAACGGCTCAAGATACTGTCCGTGGTTGCAGTGTCTGCCGGGTTCTCTACCCGCATGGAGGCAAATCTTGGCAAGGGCACTGCACAGAGGAACTCAGCATCGTGAATTCAGCAGGTGACGGAGCGTTCTTAGAGAGGACACTACGAGCGCCAAAAATGCGGCACCCCGAATCGCGGGCTAGAACTCCCCCTGAGCCAGCGGACTTTCGTCGGATCGTTGTGCCATGGACTTCTGATGCCCCCGCTTTGACTTCCAAGTCTTGCCTTGGCTCTTTTCAAGTTCTGCAAGAAGCCTTCGATCTATCGGCATTGACAGTATGGCTCTGAAGTGATTACACTCTCATCCCTCCCTTGCGAACATCTCTCCACCTCAGGCTCTTCACTGCCAATCCCATCTCAAGGTCGAGGCACTCAGTGTAGCTCACGAAAAGTGTCCTGGGCTTTTGGCACTGCTCGATCTCGACTTAAAGCTACAACTTGAAGGCATCGTCCGGGCACTACTCCAGCGAACGAAAGAACATGCCCAGCCAGCGGATGAAAGCCTGAAGCCAGGCAAACAAACAGCCTCTAGTGACTACACAATCAGCTGTTACGAGAGCATTGCTGGAAATCCGGCCACAATTTGTCCTTGGGCCCGGGTCTGCAAAATCGTGCATGTGATCCGTCCTAAAGTGCGAATAGTCTCTGGAATCGACATGGCCGAGGGCTCTCGGATCTTGTGTGCTGGCGTCCCAACAAACGCGAGGGTGGCAAGGTCAATGCGCATTTTCTTCCTTCGTGACATCCTGACATGTTTATGCCAAAGTCTCGGAGTGAAGGAGCCGCCGCTTGGGCGTCGTGGCCTGCGACAAGACAGAGAGGACTGTGCTATGCCCCTCTTCATGGCTTGCCCGTGATTCCAAAAGCACTGTGAATGCTCACTTGCAGAGTCTAGAGAGTTTCGCTTGCAGAGTGCACGTCCCAAAAGTCTCCCACCGGCTCACTTTGCCTGTGGAGCCGAGACTGAGAGCTTCGGGAACTCGTCCTGAGGTCCACCGAAACACAAACAGGCCCCGAAACCCATCACTAAGAGAGCTTGGGACGCGGTGCACGAGTTAAGCCTGTCAAGCGAGTTGCACTAATCTCCCTTGCTCCGAGCTTCGCAGGAGACTCGCCAACATCGGTGGGCTTTGGCGTGGGCGGCGTGCTCATACTCCGGCTCCCCGGACGCCTGACCAAGAGCTCGTTCAAGAGCAACTCTTGCCGACCTCCGCAAGGCATATCGGCAGTCACTCCTTGTGCCCTGAACATCGCCGAATTCTGCCGAGCATCGGAGCTTCTGCATCACTTGGTCATGGTTTCTTGCAACGATGCCGGGCAGATCGTCAGGCTCGCACTCTGGAGGTGAAAACTGGTCCTGACCACAATCGAACAAAAACAGCTTCAACCTGTGGGAATTTCCTACAATGTCCTTCGCGTGGTGCGGGGATCTTCATAGCTCACCCTCTTACACAAGCGAGGTGAACTTGCCCGGGCCGCACTATGGTCCCCATCCCACTGAACGTCTGTTGGCACAACGTGACCGTGGCCGCCACCATGGCATAAGACTTTTCGAAGCCAGCACAAGCCCCAGTCTTCGGTTCTGTAGTCTGCTGGCACGCAGACTTGAAGAGTTGAGCCGTGCACAGGTTAGAGACAAGCTTCAGGGTATACTTTCTGGATTGCAGCCTTCCAACCCCTAAATCCCAAGTCCTGAAGCTCACGGAGCGGCAAGCCCGGCACAGCCTGAGGAGACTCGGCCCAATGCGACTTTTGCCGAAGGTGCCGGGCATTGCAATGTTCAGCCAACTCTCAACCCAGTCCCGCCGTTCTTCAGCCCAGGTGCACACCGGCTTCTGTGCAACCTCAGCATCCGCACAGCAAGCATAATTTGGTGCTCGAATGGCGAGCATAACTTGCTGGGTGCTCCTCGTGCCGCATTGCTTTGAAGCTTTCTGTTCTCTCGCTGGGAGCCAAGATGCGCTTCGGGCTTCTCGTCATCGGCAAGACACATCTCGTCGGACATTTTGAGTAAACCGACGATGTTTCGCACTGGGCTGCACACTAGTGACGGTGAGTATAACTATGCTTGTTCGTGCTGCTGTTGCACAAGCTCCGACCGCGGGCAGAGACCGCTGAGCCAAATGGAAGCACGCATCCAGATCATCCACATTCGCGGTTCAGTGAACAACTACAGACCTGTTTGTGCACACACATTCAGCATGACCTGCTGGTGTGTACTGTGTATACACACACAATCCACTGCTTAGACAGATGTCTGGCAGCCAGTCAGTCAACTAGCCAATGGGATGGCGACTTGGTTCGTTGGTCAGCTACCTGGTTAATTGACTAGCTGGCCGGCCCATTAGCCTGCTTCATTAGTTGTTGGATTTTTCTGTGACTCTCGTTTGCCATTTAATCGATCAGGTTTCTTGCAATGTCGTCCTTAATTATCATTTTTGTTAGTTCGTTCGTGTGCTGGCTCGATAATCAGGTGCTTGCTCAACGACAGTTATGTCGCCACTTGCCTAGCTAGCAAGCCTCTTTTTGCGGCATTTATGCGTTCTTTGTAGGTTTTTTGATTTGAGTTGTGGTTTCGAGTTGTTGAGGGGCATGCGTTTTTGATGGTGTATTGATGACTTTTCCGGTGCGTTTTGCGTTCTCTACATGCGGCATTACACCAGGAGTAGATGGTCTGGCGCCCGACATAATCTATCTAGTTATCTATCTAGCTAGCTCTCTTCCTATCTACCTCTGTCTGTCTGCTTGTCTGCCTGTCTCTCTGGATGCCTGTCAAGGCTGCATGTGCATGAAGTCTGGATTCGGGACCGCTTCACTTCGGGAAGAAAAGACAAGGAAATCAAACGAATTTCTGCCTCTCCTCAAGTCTGAGCTGGCCTTGGCCCTTCAGCGCGCCGGCAAAGTCATGTCGGTCTGCAGGGCGGCGGCCACAGACAGACACACAGCCCTTTGTTTGTTTGACGAGCTTCCTCTACTCGTCACTTGCCCGCCTTACACGCTGGGCTTTGGCACTTCTCGCAGAAGGATGCGACGCCCGGCCCCGTGATTCGAGCAAAGGTGCCAGAAGCATAAATTCGATAATGTTGCCAAACTGTCTGCTAAAGTCTGTTAACTCCGTGAATAAATAGACGGTCCTCGGATCTGCTTTCAAGGAGACTTGCGCTGAGTGGTGCCCGAAGCTGAAGAGAAAGTTCATGTTGCTGCCCATACGTATGCAAGTGATGGGTGCCGTGCACGGACATGCATGCATGAATGCATGCACGCATGCATACACACATTCGTACATCCGTACATGCATACACGCATGCAGGCTTGGCGGCTGACTGCCATACTTACAGTACCTACTTGTCAACATGCTGGCCCGGGCACGCCTGCTCTGGCCAATCCAATATCATCTCTGTAGCAAAAACCCTTCATCTGAAGTTGCACTACCTCTCTGCTGGTCCACTGTGGCCTCCCTGACCCTGAAGTGGCAGTGGCAGGAAGAAATCTCGTACCAGAATCACACTGCAAAGGCTGAGGCAAGATGACGGCAGGACTCATCACCCAGGCCATTCCATGCGAGTCCCAGGTACTGCAGGTCAAGCACAGCAAGGCAAACCTCTCTCGATTGAGGAAGACTCACACCATCGACATGGTCTCACTACCATGGCATTGAAGGGCAGCGAGTAGCACTTCTCAAGGCATCCAAGTTCTGGCAAAAAAGCATTTGTCTAGGACAGTTTGTTAAGCGAATGCAAATGGAAAGGACGTGCAAGTCCAGCCAAGAATGAGTCCAAGTCTGCGAAACACAGCTGAAGCAGTCTAGAGGTAGGTGTTGGCATGAAGCTGTCTCCACAGAAAAAGCCACCAATAAGGAGTCGCTGGTAATTAAGGATGATTAGCATGCTGGAGGTTCGAGAACCACGCCGGAACTCTGTGGTAGAGGGTGATGAGCTTCCCTCGCCTTATTCCTTGCTTCTATCCCGATGGAAGTTCCAAGGGTCGGAACTTGGGAACCCTAAGATAGCCCGATGTGAAGGCTGTGTCGAGACCCTACAGCTGCCAGCTTTACAGCGTTGCGAAGGCCTTCAGGTCCCACTGCGTCTCCAGCATCTTGACCAGGGGCGCGATGCCTCGAGCTTTATCTGGGTGGCACAGACACCCCCCCCGAAAGAGATGGGGTGAGATTGATCCAAGAATATTGAATCCGAGGAGAGGTCGTTCGCCCGCGAGCAAGGGGACCCTTTTGGAGAGAACTCGACCCGGCCTTTTGAGCCGATGTAGTTGCCACAGAGCCTCAGGGCTGGCTCAGAGATGCAGAGGGGGGAGGGGCATAGCAAAAGACGACTAAGAGGCTCTAGTAGTATGCTGCCTCCTTCCGCTATGATGATGATGATGATGACCTTCCCCTGATCCATCCTTGCCCGCAAGACTACTTTAGTCAAGAGCTCGTTCCGGGGGAAATGATCGGACTACAGGTTCATATCGGGCTTGTACCGGCAGTTTTGGGGCTTCAGGGTTCGTGATTCCTGAGGTTTCCGGTTTCTGCTTCTGCGGGTCATCTAATGACATGGAACTCATGCTCTTGCAGATCCTCCACACATAGTGCACTCTTGTATTGGCCTCAATACAAGCCTCAACATTTCCATGAGGTTGACGAAATTTGCCCAGCTCCAGTTGAAGGCTGCCCATGACCACTAAAGACTCTGAGCACCAGAGTGTTGATCTTGGCTCCATGCTCCAGAATCTGTAAGGACTGCAGGCACTTGATGAATGGCGCCTCGGGCGAGGCTACCCAGAGAGGACTGTTTGGTCTACACAAGTGTTTGCTGTGATAGAATGGCGTTGCACGACACACAGCAACTTGGGGGGTAGGCAAGATGGACAGTGCCGGTCTGTCCCAGGCAGGCATGGCGGAAGTTGAGCTCCTGAGAAAAGCGCGCAGACCCAAGACCTAAGACGAACGCAGCGGAGAGGCCATCAACATGTCTTCTGTCCTCGCTCCAGGGGTCGAGCCTCGCCAGGCGGGTTGCTAGCTCCGGCGGCAAAGGCTCCTCTTCACATTGGAGTCTCGACGCTTATACCGTTGGCCCTCGATCTTCCTGGACTGAGAAAAACTTCGACTGCGATCAGGAGCCATCAGAAAACTCTGGGACAAGCAGGGCAAGGTCATGCTACGTCTTCGTTGTGTCGTGGGACTCTCGTGGAGCTAAGCATAAACTGCATCAGAATGACTGGGGATGCATGCGTAGTTTGGTATAGTTATGGTGGAGCTCAAGACTTTTTGTCCTTCTCGGGCCTTCGCTTTGGCACCAAGTCTCCACGTCCGGTCCTTCGAATCATTTCAGCTGGTTCACCAATCGGCTAATCCAATGAAGGCCGACAAGTGGATTTAACAGTTAAAAGCATGCGACGGAGTTCTGGCCCAGGACAATGGAGGGGGCTCCCAAAATCGCTGGAGGCCCAACCTGCCCGAAAGCCCGAACCCAAGCCAGAAGCTCTGACGCTGCAACGGCAAATAGTCCGGACTGGCCGTGAATCCAGGTGTAACGCTTGTTCTTGCTGCCTCCCCCAACATGAGCATGCAGTTTGGATTCCACGGCTGAGCGATAACACATTTACAACGGCCTGCATTTTTTTGGTCCGCCCTCAGCTCGGCTCCTTTTCAGATTCTGCGAATGACCTCGCCTACCTCAGGAACCATGATTCTGATTTATGGTTGTTCAGGCTATCACACTTGCAGTTCGGGCTCCGTTTCGATCTTGAACAGGAACTTGCACGATGATTGAACGTCGGTGTTGCCTTTGCATTGCTGTGCACCTTACAATCTCATCGTTTCTCCTCAATGCGCGAGGTGGCATACCAAGACTTGCAACGGCCGTTGTTCAGTGCAAAGAGACAACCAACCAGCAAGATGGTAAACATGCCAACATATACCCCGAAAGCAAAAAAGCACCTCGCAGTCCAAGCCTACAAATTACAAACCCAAGAACCATTCCGCTGTGTGGTGGTGGGGACACGATTGGCACCCCAGAACATGCACAGCACTGTAGATCGAGCACGATTTCGGTATGATGGAATGCACGGGACTGTTGCGAAAGCACGACTTCTTGCGCCAGAAACACGAGCTTCACCCCATGTTGCAAAAAAGCACGGCACTGCCGCTGGAGGCGGCAACGCTTGGGAAAAATACGTGATGCGCCACTGTGGCGTCGGCGAGAACTTTGGAACGGCTGGAACCCTAGACTGGCAGGCTTGCCCCATGCACGGCAGGGCCCCACCCCAAAGCACGGGCCGTCAGCACATCTCCAACTTCACGGACCCAAAGCGATTCCCTGTGAAGGTACTGAGCAGCGGGACGCCGGCACAAAGCGTGCTTACACCACCACGCTACCATGGCCAATGCAGGGAGCAATCCCCTTCGATGCGACCGCACTTAGCAGTACCCCCTCCGCATGCCCTTGAAATAATGCAGCCCCCCCCTCCCTGCCAAGGAGATAATGATGGTGATGGTGACGGTGACGGTGATCATGAAGAAGAAGAGGAAGGAGAAGATGAAGATGAAGCTGAAGATGGATATGAAAATGAAGATGAAGATGAAAATGAAGATGGAAATGATGATGAGGAGGAGGAGCAGGAGGGCAGGAGCAGGGGGAGGAGGAGCAGGAGAAGGAGGACTAACATGAAGATTAAGATGAAGAAGAAGGTCAAGATGCAGATGGTGCTGGTGCTGGTGCTCGTGCTGGGTGCTGAGTGATGGTGATGGTGATGGTGATGATGATCGCGGTGGTGACCGTGCCAGCTTCGTGCGTCGCTCAGGGTGAAGTGCCTGCTACGGCTACGGCAGACCCCATTTGAGTCGCAATCATCGCGCTCTAGACCACGGAAGCGGAAGCAGTTTTCCCGTCCTCGTCAAGTGCCCTCTGAAATAGCTCGCAATGCGAATCTGGGCCTTGCATAAACACATGGATCACCAGACTTCATGTCTCCGGTTGGGGTATGCAGAGCGCTGTCTTCGGTTGCGGCATCTCCAAGCAAACAGAGCCTTTAAGAGAGTTGAATCTCAATGACAACATTTGTTTCTGCGCCGACCTTCTGACGAGAGGGCCTGACGGCGCCTTCGAAGCCAAGCGGAAGTCCGGAGGGCAGCCCATCCGCGCACTTTACACCTTGGCACTCAGAGAAGAGCTTCTGCGCTCTGGGCGCCCCTCTAAATTGAAAAGCATCCTTGTTCGTTCGTTCTTACCTTTAGCATACTTGAGAAAGAACTACACCGTAGGTTTTCTCTTGTTGACAAGAATACATTGTCTTCGGCTTTTGACAGAGCCATGGCCCATAAACTAAACTGGCAAATTCAGATGTCAGGCTGGGGGATTGCAGTGTTTGCATTTTGTTAGTTTGAATCGTGAACTCCGTCGCACCAGGGCGGAAAAGGTAGTAGAAGTAACGGTAGCAGCAGCAGCAGCAGCAGCAGCAGCAGCAGGAGCAGCAGCAGCAGGAGCAGTAGCAGTAGTTGTCGTCGTAGTAGTAGTAGTGGTGGTAGTAGTAGTAGTAGTAGTAGTAGTGGTAGTGGTAGCGGTAGGGGT